AAGAGGAAGTGTTGCACCATTCAGGACCAGGTCAAATCCACCCTCTCCGAAGCCCGATTCACCAACCAACAGGACCTCCGTCTTGTCTGGATTGAGTTTCAGTTTATTGGCCCTCATCCATTCCATTACCTCGGCCAAGCACCGGTTCAGCACAGCCACTGCCTCACCTGGATTAGTGGAAAACGAGAGGTAGAGCTGGGTATCATCAGCGTATTGATGATTCCGCAGCCCACACCTCCTGATGACCTCTCCCAGCGGTTTCATATAGATGTTAAATAGCAAAGGGGATAGAATGGAGCCCTGTGGTATTCCATGGCATAGCTGCCATGGCGCAGAACCATAGTCCCCCAGAACTACCTTCTGGAATCGACCGTTGAGATAGGAGCAGAACCACTGCAAAGCAGTGCCTCCGACCCCCAATCCTGCTAGCCTATCCAGAAGGATACCATGGTCGATGGTATCGAAAGCCGCCGAGAGGTCCAGAAGAACCAACAGGGATGCACTCCCCCTGTCCTTCTCCCTGCACAGGTCATCGTACAGGGCGAGCAAGCAGATTCAGTACTGTACCCGGGTCTGAAGCCGGACTGAAAAGGATCCAGATAATCAGTTTCATCCAAGAGTGCTTGGAGTTGTCCCGCCACCACTCGCTCCAACACCTTGCCCAGAAACGGGATGTTGGCCACAGGTCTATAGTTAGTGGCCATCTCTGGATCCAGTGATGCTTTCTTCAGGACCGGTCGTATTACCGCCTCCTTTAAAGGGGCAGGCACTCGACCCTCCCTCAGAGAAGCGTTAACCACTTCCAAGATCCAGGTCCCAATCCCGTGCTTGGAGTTATTTATTAACCAAGACGGGCAAGGATCCAAGAGGCAAGTGGTGGGACATACTCGTCCAAGCACCTTGTCCACATCATCGGGCCGCAATAATTGAAATTCCTCCAATAATTTTGGACCAGATGGTAGCATTGGTGTCTCCCCAGAGACCTCTGATTCATTAGTGGAGTCCAGCTCGTGACGAATCTGAGCGATTTTCTCCCTGAAATGCCTGGCAAAGTCGTCACAGCGGGCCTTTGAGGGTGGCATCGGATCTTCCTTAGGACCTGGGCGAACCAGGCCTTGTACCACTCGAAAAAGCTCTGCCGGGCGGCATTGTGAGGAGGCAATGGAAGCGGAAAAAATCTTCTTTTTTGCCGCCTTCACCGCCACAGCATAGGCCCGATAGTGGGCTCTCAAGTGTGTTCGGTCAGATTCATCCCGTGATTTCCTCCATCTACGCTCTAGTTGTCTCCCAACCCGCTTCATCGCCCGCAATTTAGGTGTATACCAAGGGGAAGAGCGGACTCTGCCTGGTGGGAGAGGACGCTTAGGAGCGATCGTGTCCACAGCCCTGGTCATCTCTCCGTTCCACAGTTCGACCTTGGAACTACTGATGTGTCCCTCTCCGGTTGGGAAGCTCACTGCAGAAACTACCAGACACAAGGGACTTGGAACGGATCAGAATGCAAGAGACACATAAATTACCTGGAACTTCTCAGAGTGTACAAAATCTTGTGTTCACTGCAAAACAGTTGCGTTCACTACAAAACTTATTGACAAGGAAACACATTGAAGTGGCTATGGACAATACAAGAACTATGTTTTATTTAAACAAACGAGGCACCAGACTACTCACATCTGGGACTGGTGTATCCAGAAACAGATCTTGCTGTGTGACTGTAATAAAGCGGTCCTTGATTCAGTAAAGAGGAGACTATCAGGTTTCCAAGAAAAGCCCTTCTCAAAGAGAGACTGAATGCCAAATCTGGTTTTAAACACTATGCATGTAACATTTATTCTATGATATAAAGAATACAGAAGTATAAAAATACAAGTTCAGCAATCATCAGCAACAATATCAGGAGGCTTCATTCAAACTTGCATTCATGCAACACTCATACAGCCAATAGACCCTCTCGGTGATCCATCAAGACTGTTGGTGACCAGTTGCAGCACTATTCTGGCACACGCGGGAGCTGGAAAGCCCCATCATTTTATACCTTAAAGTTAACTCAAACAGCTTAGTCCAGCTGGATCGAACAGTGAACTCCTCTGAGCAGAGCTGACACAGAACATGCTGGTCTTTATCTTGAACACATGCACTCTCGTCACATTCCATTCTCTGAGTGGTACAGCATGGGCTTATCTGTTACGTTCCATTCTCCAGCCATTTCCGGCCTCTCAGTTTTCTCAGTCTGGTCAGTCCCATCATGCTTTTTCATTCATTTTCTTCTGGGTCTTAGGCCTTCAGGAACCCATGCACACTGTAACAGCTGCAGACCATTTTCATAGCTGGTTCCAGCAACACAATAGCGAATGCACTCAGCCAAAATCCCCTTCAGATGCCTGAATGAGAACTGGATTGAAAGTACTATGCCACATCTTTTCAGAATGGGACACACCATCCATCAACCTCTTTGCAGCTGAGGCCAACATGGCATGTGCTGCCTATTGCTCCCAAGACAAGACTCTCTTCGGGACGCATTCCTATTTCAGTGGAAAGGAATTATATTCTATGCCTTTCACCATTCCCCATTATCACAAAGACAATAGTAAAGATACAGAGAGAAAAAACATCCTGCATCCTAATCACACCCTGGTGGCCAAGATATCCTTGGTTCATGTCCATCTTGCACCTGTCAACAGAAACATATATATATATACATACCAGCAATCCCAAATTTGATCTCCCGGAAACACAGGAGATCCCAAATATTACACCCAAATACTCAGACATTATGGCTGACTGCCTGGTTTATCCATTAACAGCAGAAACAGTCACTCTAAACCTCATTTGCAATTCATTATTCAGGCAGTACTGCATCCCAAACATCAGATGCTTGTATGCTGCTAAATGGGAAAAAAATCAAGAATTATGGAATAGACCATTCTTTCGAAGCAGTTACTGTTCTAATACACAAAATGGTATTGCTCCACTCACTTCACCAGAACAGACTGAAACCAAGTTCCATTAAAGTCTACTTTACTGCAAGTACCCACTACAGAGGACAGACTGAGGGAACTTCGGTGTTCTCTCGCCCTCTCACACGCAAGTTCATGAAGGGACTGCACAATCTGAACCCTCCTGTCTGATCCTTAGTTCCCACATGGAGCCCATCAGTGGTGCTACAGGCTTTAACCAAACCTCCCTTGAAGCCACTCATATCCACAGATGTCCAATTTCTCTCATGGAAGACTTTGTTTTTAGTGGCCATTACATCAGTTAGGAGAGCAAGTGAGCTATGTGTTCTTAGGATGGACCCACTGTACCTAAGCTTCCATAAAGAAGAGATGGTTCTCCATTTGGATCCAGCATTTCTACCAAAAGTCTCTTCTACTTCCTATTTAAACCAGGTCTTAATACTAGTGGCCTTTTTCCCAGTGCCCTCGACACCAATCAAAAGGTCCATACACACACTAGATGTATGCAGGGAACTCACTTTCTACTGTTCCTACATGGAATTGATCTGACAAACCAAGAGACTTTTTGTCAAGTATGAAGATCATTCTATGGGTGAACTTGTTGGACCACAGTGCATTTCACACTGGATAGTGGAGACTATCAAGCTAACATACCAGCTAGCAAAACTTGACTTACCTGATCATCTGAAAGCTCACTCCACCAGAGCAATCTCAACATCAACAGCCTTACATGCAGGCCTACCTGTTCACAAACTCTGCAGGGCAGCCACTTGGTCGATACCTTCAACATTTGTGCGCCATTACTGGCTTGATGTCAAGGCCAGACAAGACTGCTTCTTCAGCCAAGCTGTCCTCTCCCTAGTCCTACAGTGACACCACCTCCCACCTAATTCAGTAAGCTTGCTAGTCACCCACATGTGTGATGCACAGAGACCATGAAGAAGAAAGTACAGTTGCTTACCTGTAACTGTCGTTCTTTGAGTGGTCATCTGTGCATTCACACAACCCACCCAGTGGCCAGCAAAATGATGGTCTCCAGCTGGACTGAGGAAGGGCAGGAGCCCTGCTTTTTTATACTAGGAGCAAGGGAGGCAGGGCTTGCACCAAAAATGCTATGCTAGGACAATCTTCCCAAACATAGGCATTGCACAGGCAAAGCACCCATATATGCGAATGCACTGATGACCACTCAAAAAACAACAGTTACAGGTAAGCAACCATACTTGAGAGTATTGTGAACAAACCTTTTTAAAAGGAGGTAATTGCCTGTCAACAATTCAAGCTGTGAAGTGGAAGGCAGAATTATGCAATAGTAATACCCCCCCCCCCCGCTGGACCCCTCCCTCCCAAAAGCTGGGGAATGTGTTACTGCATGTATAAGGTTCCATAAAAGGAATTCTATTTGGCAAGCCGATGTAAGGAGCAGGAGCAGTGTTGTGAGCTGGTCCCTCCCTACCTTTCCTCTGGTTCCAAACCTCAAAACAATTTTTTGAAAATACATTTTTTAATAGAGACTCCACAGGTAACAGAACAGTTTGAGTTCTAAATAGTCTTCTTCCAAAGCTGAAAAGGGAAACCTCTCTCGTATAAAATGTTGAATCCAAACTGGGAACTTCTTTGTGGTCCCTCCCTTTCAGTCAAACATCTGGCTCCACCCTTAGAATGGCTCTTGCTGCCTGAGAACAAGATGGTGTGAACAGTAAAACCCCTCCAATGGAGCAGCTTGTTTTTTCCAACACAAGTAGCCTTGCCCCAGTGGGAAATTATACCAATACCCAATTGGTCAGTCTATATGCCACTGTTTTAGGAAACCATTTTCTGTAAAAAACTTAACGACAACCTTCTCAGACCTGATAATCTTCAGATGTGTTATGCAATGCTGGGAGTTGTAGTCCAACATGCCCAGAGAGCACCAGGTTGGCTAAGCCTGGTTTGATTCAGTTGGCTGGTTGTGTACATTAAAAGATAAGAGTTCATGTTCAGATTAAATAATAATGTAGTGTTCTGTAATATCCTAATAATGGAATATTGTTTTCTATCAAGGTTTTCTCATACACAGCCAATAAAGAAATTCGAACAGATGATTTGTGCTTAGATGTCTCCAAACTTAATGGCCCTGTCACAATGCTCAAGTGCCACCACTTAAAAGGCAATCAGCTGTGGGAATATGATCCAGTGGTAAGTCTTCTTTATGACTAAAATTTGGGAAATTACAAAATGAATGTAGACACTACTGCTTTGTGGTCTCCACATCTCACATATGGACCCCACACCTGCACAAAGCCTTGATTCAAGAAACTTCCATAGCTGAGAACTTTTGCAGGAGCCCATCCTCCCTATATATTGCTAGTAGGCGCCCACCCATTCCCTCACCGCTTCTTCGATTACAGTTGTGGTTGTCTTGTAGGGAACGTTGTTCTTTCCTCACTGAGAAAGTACTGCGCTTAGCCAAGATTTTTTGGTGTCATTATTTGTCTCTGATTTTTTTTTGTATTTTTCTCTTTCTTCATCATTGTCTCTGTTCATCACAAGTGTGGGCTTTGCTGTGGCAGCACAATGTCTAGATTGTAAGAAACTTCAATAGCTTAATGCCATGGAGTGGGTAGGTGGTTTCTGTCTCTTTCTTGGCACCCCTTGGTTGGTTGGGTTGTTTGCTTGCTTAGGTCTGAGAGGCATATGCCCTTGGAGACACCTTTTCACCCTGTATGTCTGTTGTGGCAGTAAATGCCCACTAATGGATAGTCACTTGCTTTGCCTACTTTATTTGGATGAGGGCTATCTTGTGGACTCCTGTCCACATTGCCATATTAAGGCTCTGCTTTGAAAAAGGGTGCTGAAAACAGTAGATTCTCCTTGTCCAGCTGTGGAACCTTAGCAGACTGCTTCTCCAGATCAACCTCTTTCATGGCTACACTGTGTAGTGAATCTCCACCTCTTCAATCACCAATAGTTCTAGCTTCATCCACAGGCCAGGAGGACCTGTTGATTCCTCCCTACTGTGCATATTATGGAGGCAATTATGCATTGATTTGAGATGCACCCTGTTATCTATAATAAAATCCTGCTCCTTACCATACACCATTGCTACACACCTCCCAGATATGAGCATCTTCCAATGCTCAGCACCCCCGTTACCATATTGGAGGGAGGGTGCTACCTTTCTGTTTATTCATCCAATTCCAGATTTTATGATTATGAAGTCATTGTAGAGACAGTCATGCAGATGCCATTCTGACCTAATGGACAGGAAGGTGCCTGGACATAGTGGGAAGGGGCATTTCTTTCACTTCCTTGCTTGACTTTAGGGTGGCAAATTGACAGGTCTGTGTCTAGTACCAGCTGCTGTTCTGGGAAAATATTGGATCCTTGTACAATTACTTTCCAGATAATAAACACAGGGGGATACGTGGATCAACAGAACTGAAAAAGAAAAAGATCTCAGAGTAATTGTTAATAATAGGCTAAATATGAGCCAATGATGCAATGCAGCTACCAAAAGGGCAAATGCTATTTTGGGATGCATTAAGAGAAGTATTACTTCCTAATCATGAGAAGTAGTAGTTCCCCTATACTCCTAACTAGTCAGACCTCATCTAAAATACTGTGGCCAGTTCTGGGCACCAAGATTTAAGAAAGATGCGGAAAAATTAGAAAGGGTTCAGAGGAGGGCAACAAAAATAATGATCCAGGATTTGGAAACCCTGCCATGTGAGGCGAGACTGAGACAACTGAGCATGTTCAGCCTTGATAAGAGACTGAGTGGGGACATGGTATTATGCTATAAGTTCCTGAAATTGGGTGGCATACAAATGTTTTAAATAAATAAATCTTCACAGTCCCAGCAGCCAGTGCTGAGGAGACATCTCCTACCAAGGTGCTGCACAAATCGTTAAAGAGGAGACCAGATCTCCAAGCAGCATCTCTGATGCCCTATATCTTTGTCATCCTTCTCCCTGTCAATCTACCTTTGGAACTAGACTTTTTCCCTCTTGGCCTGGACTTCCATTACAGCTGATTCATTGGTACTATCCATTATTCAGAGTAGCTGTTGGATTGAATCCAAGTCCTCCCTCCTTTTTAAGGTACTGTCCCAGTGGCTCCCTCCACTACCATACAGGTGGGAGATGACTCTTTGCAGTCTAAGAATGCCATTTCCCATTTACCAACTAATTTTGGGCTTATGTGGTATCAAGTGTCTTTCTAAGAAATATGGAATAGCGACTTTGTGTATGCCTCTTTGGCATATAGGATTATGATATATTACTGTAGGTCTCAAGAAGGCGTATTTTCACACTGCAGATGAGAAATCTTACCAACATTGTTTTGTAGAGGCATATCAGTTCCTATTTGGTCTCCTGACAACCAAATTACAGTCATCTATCCCTTTCTCTGCACAGAGGGCATACAAGTCTATCCATACCTAGAAAACTTGCTCTTGGTGGAAAATCAAGAGACAAACAACCAGACACCCTTGTGCTCTATGCCAGCATGGAGAAACCCTGTTGGAACCCTACTCAGATCATCCAATTCATTGAGCCACCCTAGATTCCACATTAGGTTGGGCATTCCTGCCTCAGGATCATTTAGCTAACCTGTGGAACTTGGTGTGCAGAGTCAGGGATGCAGGTCCTGGGTTTTACTGTTCAATGACTCTTGAGTCTCATGGCTGCTGCAGTCCCCTTGGCATGCCTAAGAATGAGAACCCCTCAAACTTGTTTTCTATGGACACTGCCTCCAAATTGCAACTTCAGAAGGACTCAGTACATCTTCCACTCAGTGTTAAGGGATCATTCGTCTCATGGACATGGAGCAACAATCTTGGAGTAGGAACCCCCTTCCACCAACTGGTGCCAAGAAGAATGCTTATGACAGAGGCCTCTTTAAAAGGCTTGGAGGGGAGCGCTGAAAAAGTGTGTCATATGCTCTATTACAAGAGTTCTTCCAAAAATACAAGAGGACCGCGCACACTGCATTCTGGTGCCTCTGTGATGGTCCTTCTAGCTTTGGTTTCCACCAGTCCTACAATAGTCCTAGGAGTTTCTTTCTCTTCCCCCATACTAACCTTATTAACATGGATCCAAGTTCAAATCCATCATCCATATTTATAGGCACTCAGACTGCCAGCATGGAGAATCTGTTGAGTTGGAAAAAGCCTATGTTTAACCCCTCAGTCTCAGTCTTGGATGCCACTTGGGAACCTACTACCAGGGCTTCCTATGGGAAAAAGTATCACAGTATCTGAAGGAATTGACCTTTCCACATGTTCTTTTTCACTGATTTTGTGTTTTTTCCTGCCACAGTTTCAAAACAGCTTAAAACTTCCTTCTGTCAGATTTTGTTTTGTTGCTGTCTGGGCTTATGCCCTAATTGACAATTTCTCAGCTGCAGACATTTTCTAAATCAAGGGTGCCTGCACAGAGCCTATAAGTGTGATCAGTCAAGGAACTACAGCTATAAATACCCCATGGACAACTTACTGAATGATTGTTGATATCAGCAAACCCAATTGAAAAAGGACATTATATATGTAGCCCTCCTTCTTTTACGACAATGCAGCATGGCTCTGTCACTTGATTTACTTAGCAATATTTATCTTAACTCCTTTTCTTATCATTTACTAATCTCAACTTAAATATTGCCTTGAAAATGTTTAGCAAATTTGTGACTGGTTCTTGCCATGCAAACTTGAATGCTCAGTAGTACCAACTAAAAGTGATCATGATAAAGTGGATTAGCCAAAATCTTAGCATGATTTTTGAAATATGCAATCCAACACAGCTAGAACTTCATATATTCATTCTTGAAAAGCAAAAAAAGGGGGGATATACAAATACTCTGGTCCAGATAGCATTTAAGTTATTTAATTGTAAGTGGATCCACTACTGGATACAAATATAACCACCTTTTCTTTTAAACAAATATCTTGCAAAAAAACAAAACAAAACAAAAAACAAAAGGATGTGATTATGAGTGGGTGGAACCTTCTGAAACATAAAATGATGAAATTGCAATATAAGTGGTCAAAAGTTTGTAAGTAAGAATTGTTCCCATTTTCAGCAAATACTTAAGCATTTTCAGGGAAAAACACCACTTTTATAACAGTTGTACCAGAAAAGAATATCTTTCTTGCCATTGCGGAGCACAGAATGAATAGCCTAAACATAGCTAATAGCTGTAAAGAATTCAGCCATCATTTTCCTATTTGAGTTTCTGTCAAATTCAAAATATGAGGATGATGTATTGGTTTTGATATGGGTATGTACATGGATACATGACCATGTATCCTTTATTCTTCCACATAGATGTGCTAGGTGATCAAGCACCTGCTCACATAGAATCGTTGTTGTTGTTAGTCACGAAGTTGTGTCCGAGCCATTGCGACCCCATGGACAACATTCCTCCAGGCCTTTCTGTCCTCCACCATCCCCCAGAGTCCACTTAAGCTCACACCAACTGCTTCAGTGACTCCATCTAGCCACCTCATCCTCTGCCATCCCCTTCTTCTTTTGCCATCTATTGTTCCCAGCATTAGGCTCTTCTCCACGTAGTCCTTCCTTCTCATTAGGTGGCCAAAGTATGTGAGTTTCATCTTCAGTATCTGGCCTTCTTAAGAGCAGTCAGGGTTGATTTCCTCTAGGACTGACCGGTTTGATCGCCTTGCGGTCCAAGGGACTTGCAGGAGTCTCCTCCAGTACCAAAATTCAAAGGCCTCAATCCTTTGGCACTCAGTCTTCCTTATGATCCAGCTTTCACAGCCATACATTGCAACTGGGAAAACCCTAGCCTTGACTATATGCACTTTTGTTGACAGGGTGATGTCTCTGCTTTTCAGTATGCTGTCTAGATTTGCCATAGCTTTCCTCCCTAGGAGCAAGCATCTTTTAATACCTTGGCTGCAGTCCCCGTCTGTGGTGATCTTGGAGCCCAGGAAAATAAAATCTGTCACTACCTCCATTTCTTCCCCATCTATTTGCCAGGAAGTGAGAGGACCGGATGCCATGATCTTAGTTTTCTTAATGTTGAGTTTTAAGCCAACTTTTGCACTCTCCTCCTTCACTGGCATCAAGAGGCTCTTTAGTTCCTCTTCACTTTCTGCCATTAGAGTGGTATCATCTGCATGTCTGAGGTTGTTGATATTTCTCCCAGTAATCTTAATTCCAACTGGTGATTTATCTAGC